CGAATATTTAAAGGTATATTGTTGCCATTATGTTCATGCCATTAATAAAAGAAAATGTGTCTTTAATATAATTTGTTTTAAGAGGTCTTGTCCATAATACAATATCTTTCCGTGAACCTATATCTTAAGTTATAAATTTTTTGTTGTCGGATAAAAAGTCAAACAGTTTGTCAATATACGTCGCTGTGCCCATGGTTATTTAAAGTTTTAAAAAAACAAGCACCCGCCGTGTGGTATTTTACATCTGTCAAGGAACCCGGTAAACCAATTTTAAAGTTTTCGAATAGATTTGTTTGACGGAGATCTTTGAGGTTTGCCTGTAAAATGATGGTTTTAGCAATTCGTGTTTGAACTTACAAACATTTTTATGTTTAGTTTTTGTTTCCTTTACCCCATATAATACAACAATAGTCCATAATGGGCAATATATATGCAATTGGTAAAATAATAATTTTTCAATTCAAAAGTGGCAAAAAATTCGATTTTTTTTTCCAATAAGGAATTTTTTTCCGTTAAGTTTTTTACAAAACATTGTCAATTTGGGCAAAGTGACAATTTTAAGTTTTATCTATGCAAATACCCAAAGACTTTTTGATTAGTTACTTTTCAAAGAGTATTTCGGTTTATCAAGAAATTAATTTTTCTCATAATAATTTACCTTTTTGTCTTGTTCCCCTTTACGCATCATTTTGATTTATCTGGATTTAAGGGCGCCATATTATTTATTTTGGGCAACCAAATTTTTAATGTTTTTTATTATAAATGATCTTGAAAGTTTTTATTTCTTAACTTTTTGATATATTTTCTCCGGACTCATAAAGAAGGTAGAATCGTCTGCCGACCTCAATAAATCAATTTTCATATCATTACCAATGAAAGCTATGTCATTTTTATGTATATTAGAAATAATTTAAAGGTCCTAATATTGAGGCCTTGTTGGAACACCGCGGAAATTATTTTTCATTGTTGATATTGTAGATCACCTAATCCTTTACCAGTTTGTTTTCTGTTAGAAAGATATGACATAAAAAAACTTTAACGGCATTTTTCAGAAAAATGATAAAAGTTTTAAGTTTATGCAAAAGTATTTCAATGGTCAACCAAATCAAAGGCTTTCTTTCTTTAAGTCCTAAAAATACAGTCCCTATAATTTTTTTTCCACTGTCAACATCTTTTAACCAAGTTATCTATTAAACTTATGAGTGCAGTATTACCTGAATGATTTTTACGAAATCCCCTTGATTGTTTATTATGAATAAATGTTCGTTTTTTTCAAAGAATGAGTGTATTTGTTTGGCAATATGGCGCTCAAATTAATTTGGATATAGTTTGACAAAATTGATATCGGTCGATAGTTATTTGCTTCATTCTTATCCCCGATTTAAAAATAGGTATAACTCGAGCTTTTTTTAAATCATCTGGGAAAATATTAGATTTAATACTATTATTGAAATTGATGCAATTATTTGTGTAATATAATCTCCACAATATTGATGATGTTTTGGTCCAATTCCATCTAATTCCTGTAGATTTTTTAATATTCAGTTTTTCAATAATAAGTTTTACTTCAAACGGTGTAATTAATTCAATATTAAATTCATGATGTATTAGCTTTTGGTCTAAAGTTTCTTTCAATTTTGAAAAATTTGTATTTGAAAACTTTTTTTTATGTATGACATTCGAGATATTGACAAAATCCTTATTTAATTCATTTATTAATATTAACAGTTCCGTAAATTTCTTTATTACCTGTCACTAGTCTGTCTGGCATTGTAATACAACATTTTTTATTTAGATTTGAAACGTCCTTTAAATTTTTTCCATAAAAATGCCGGGTCTTTGTTATTTTAATAGCATTGTTAAAGAAATCTCTTTTACTTTTTTTAATCATTGATGTTATTTTATTTCTGAGCAATTTGTATTGTTCATGTTTCCCTACTTTATGATAGTAATCGCGTTCATGTATAAGATATTTTATCTCATCAGTAAACCATTCTGGGCGGTGTTCACGTTTGATACGTTTTTCTTTTATTGGTGCATGCTTTTTCAAGATAGTATTTAAAATGGAGTAAAATAAGCTAAGGGATTCATTTCGGAGTTATTATGTGCTCGACTAATTCAAGATCGGATAAAACAAGGTCTGCCTAAAATCAATTTCATTGAAGTTTTTAAAACATCTATTTTAATCGAATTATGTTCATTAATCAATCGGGTACTACATGCTTTCGTTGATCTGAAATACCTATCGGATAATGATCACTTAATGAGGTATCAGAAACAAACGATTCAATAATATATATGCTACTGTTTGTATAAACATGATCTATAATTTTTTGGGTACGTTTTGTTATCCTAGTAGGATCTGTGATAAGCTGTTTCAAACCATATTTCGTTATCAAATCCCCCCATTTTGTATTGTCATATTTTTTCTTTTTATTCATTGGATAAAAGTTTATATTGACATCTCCTAGAATATGATATTCTATATTTGATATATCTATTATACTAAGTTGTTTTTCATAATCGTCAATCCAAGATTGGTGTACATTTGGTGGGCGATATATAAAATTTAAAAGAAAAGGTTTGCAATTTGGGTAAATAATTTCCAACCAAACAGATTCTAATTCGTCTGTTTCTATATCGTAACGGCGCCGATATGGTTGGAAAATTTAAAGGACGTTTCAAATCTAAATAAAAAAGGTTGTATTACAATGCCAGACAGACTAGTGACAGGTAATAAAGAAATTTATTATTTAAAACTAACCAACTAACTAACTAAAAAACAAAAGAAAAATAAACAAACAATTTTTTTTTAAATTTTTTATTTTATTGGTATAAAATATCCTATTATTAGAATCAATGTTGATCACTTTATTTTCTACAATATTTAAATGAACACATGCGAGGGCGTAATAAAAAGCATGTTCATATTTTAATTTCCTTATTGGTGGTGCATTAATATTTGAGCTGACCATCTGGTAAAATTATATATCCAACATTTTATCCTCCTTGATAAAACCTTATGCATGAACTTCCTTATTTTTAAGATGGCATCCACTTATCTCTTTTTCCCCATTCTGTATTAGTTCAAAACTGAAAAAAAGTTTATTCACTGGAAAGTAAACAGTGTCATATGAAATTTATGTGTTGGTCATAGGAACAATCATTTTCCTATTTTGGAATTCACGTAGAATAGTAAATTGTGTCAATTTTGGTGATAAAGATTAATGTCCATAGCTTTGAATAACGTGACACTTGTTTGTTCATGATATATAGAGGATATTTGTTTGTTTGTGTGTAAGATGAAATTTTATTTCATCGAGTGGGCTTTAAAAAACAGTATTCTCACGAGTGGCGTAGCCACGAGTGAGAATACTGTTTTGAAAGTTCACGAGATGAAATAAAATTAAATCTTACACAACAAACAAACAAATTTTCTTTTTATTTTATGCTAAAAAACAAGTTTAAACGAAATTTTCATGACATTAACGTAAATATTAAAAAAAATCTGTGTTTCCCCATTGAGAGCCCCATTTAGTCGGAATTTTCTCATTAAAAACATGAAGTCTTGAGCTGTAAATAAGTCGACAATCAACGTTAAATGACAGTGATATTATTTATTTTGTTTAAAAAAAATATAAATGATCGCTTGTTTTAATAATAAAAAACAACAATTCTTGTAGGAGAAAAATTCCAACCATCCATCCATATTTCTGTTACTTACTGGTATTTTATATTAGAACCTGGCTTTGTTAAATGTAAGCGCAGCCATTTTTTAAAGTTGTGTATTTCACGGGAGGAAAATAATTTGTGTTTGATTCAGAGGGATATCATTTGGATTTGTTAGTCATACACCTTTTTTAAAAGAAAGAAAACATATTTGAGGATTGAAACAGACAAAAAAAAAAGTGTTGACAGATGTGAAAACATTCAGAAAAGGAGCTTGGAAAATGGAAAACTTGGAAGCTTGCTCGAAACGCTGGGTGGTTTAATTGTTCTACGAGGTGATAGCTGTCATTGCTTTCAATTTTTCATAAAGCGTACGGCAGTTATTGCTCGTAGGATAACTTTAATGTGCCCAAATGTCACCAAGAGCAGTTTGCATGTGGAAGGAATGTATTTGTCAGACTGTAAAAATGAAACAAAAAATTTAGAGATGAAATTTGGCGATTGGAATTTGAATGAATAGAAGTAAGTTTTCTTCTTTTTATTACATTTGACGTTTAAGTTGATTATCAATTTCAGCTTTGCGATTTCTTTAAACAGCCTGATATTGTCAGAATTGTCAGTAAAAATAAAATTGAGGTACCACATGGGGAAAATCTTAAAAAAGTAGTTTCGTCATTGAAAAAAGTGAAATTATATTTTGATAATTTTCACAGTGAAATTATCAAATATAATTTTCACGGATAAATCAGTAATCCACTGAAAAGCATAAAATAAATGGTTATATTATCTATAAAACAGAAACAAATGGTGACGTGAGTCAATGTGGTGGAAGAACTCCAGGTAATGTATTCAACAAGAATCAAATTTTCTTCTATGCCCCCACATTAAATATTTACTAATTTAGAGATCAATATTCTGACATGTAAAATTACAAGACAGATCTGCTGACTTTTTTCTATATTAATTTAACAAGGACTTTCAATGAAATACACGAAGGAGAACAAAGTGACTTAACTTTACATAATTCTTATCATGTTATGACATAAAATACATTTTAACATCTTCATCATTATAAGTCATAAAATTTCAATCGTACTAAGGATAAGGGAATAATCAAATGTGCTAGAGCTTAGTGATTAATTTTAGAATTAACGTTTGTTTCAAATTCGAACAAATTATATTTGAAGCATGGACACACATAAGTCGTTGCTTCTTTTCTTTATCATTTTACTTTTGTATATTTTCTATTTCTTTAATCATGTGTCTCATAATACCATGCATATCTTTTCAGCTGTTCGTATCTGCAAACACTCGAAAGAAACTATGGTTACTAAAGTTTTTATAGAAACCGCCGATGTACCTCAACGTCAGATAAATATATGTAAATGCAATGTAACACCAACATTTTTTAACAGCAGCGTTTCATTAGATTTCCGGAAATATTCGCCGAAAAGTGAAAAAGTTTATTTCAAATTACACGACATAGTGCTGAACAAAACAGACGAACGTGCTAACTCAACTTTTACTAAAGAAAATGAGCTGGTTTTGGAAACAGGATCTGATTTTAACATGAAGGATGTTTGTCTTATTATATCTACAGGTAAACTGTTTCGGCGCAGTAGTGTCAAATAAAAAAAAACAAGAAAAAAAACAAAAAAAAAAACAAAACAAAAACATATTAATATCAAACGGTTTTGACATTATTCTGAGCTGATCATACTATTGTTGAAATAAAATTGATAATTTCCTAAATGCACATTTAATAAACAAGTACATTTTCATTAGGCAAATCACTTGTTCAAATAGTTTGAAGTAGATTGCCAAATTAATTCAAATCAAAATCATTCTTTTCTTCTACATAAATGAAAAGATTTTTCTGCTTGAATTTCCTCCTGTTCAATATTGAAGGTTAAAAGTTTTAATTACAGATGGTAAAACAAAATTCAATATATCCTGTGAAGAGTCACAATTGGCTGTTACACAATCCACGGTTCAAGAGATTACGATTAGTGAACTTAAGACAAGTACAAATTCAACATTAGAAAATAGCAGTGATGTAGATATCTGTACTATTGGTATGATGCGAAGGGCTTAAATAAAATTTCTATATAAACTTGAACTTGTTGCAATTTTTATAATTTGCTACAAAAGGTTGATTTTTTGTTTATTTCAAGAGTTTGTTGTTCCTGTTTTGATATACTTATATGTGTTTTAAAGTTTTAGTGGTGCACAAAGAATGCACAATTTTTCAAAAGAGTACAAAACAATATCACAAAAAAAATATTTTAATTTTACATGGAATGAGATCATTTATGATCTTAATTTCTTCAGAATTTTTTTTCTATGTCATGCATTTTAGTAAACCTTAAATCGTTAATCAGGAAGAAAAATGTTGCACTTGAAGATATATGATGCTTTATTTGAAATACTGATCAATATCTTTTTTAATGTAAAATTAACATCTTTTGAAAACAGTAGAGATTATGCGTTACATGTTAATCTCTACACACTTAAGGTAAACTCAATATGAATAAATAGTGTCTGCCCCTCAACCCAGGGATCATGTGTTCGAGCCCTAATCGGGTAAGACCATGTTTCTTCATATGACACCGGTACTGGTTGGTTCCAGGAAGCGGACTCGAAATTCATTAATATAAGCATGGTTTGTGCAATCTCTTATATTATTCAAAATAGACAAATTCAGTAAAACAAATCCAAGATACCAATAAATATCTGTGATAAAGATATTGTACCGAATAAATGGGCGTAGCAGATCTTTAAAAAGAGTTGAAATTCAATTACAGTGTCGACTAGTTATTTGGATTTATCAGTTATTATATGCAGGGGAGCCAAGAAACAGAAGAAAAATGTGAGGACACCAAAACTATCACAGGAAGAGAATGAAACATCTGCAAGAAACGACGGAGGTGATAATGATTATTATATGACAGAGAATCCTTTGTATAACATGACTGAACCCATAATGGACAAAAATGAGTCCCCTCTATATTAGCTTGTACTAAAACGTGCACCGAATGATGAACAAAGAATGGAAGCATATGATGATAATCCAGACTTACCAAATATTTTTACTCAACCTTTGGTTTTCCAGCAGACTGGCGATAATAATATAGCTGACTTTGAAAAGTTTGGTGACGCTACTGACAGTGGGTACACTGAAATCGTAAACGTCGATGTTGTCAGTGGTCTTTACAATCAAAGGAATGATGTTTAAAACTAACCGTAATACCGTCATTTAATTCTACATGGTGTATTTATGATAACAGAAAAGTTTACTTCAGAAATGCTTTTCTTCTTTATTTGTTTTACAATTTTGGACCTTAATTATGCTATTGACATGGAATGGCAAGTTAATGTTTTATGATGACCATCTTAGGAATACATCTGCATATTTTGATACAAATTAAAACGTATTATTTTTTACTATTTAATTCTGCTAGTACCAGTCTCAGTAAGCGGAATTGCTTGTATCAACCATACAGGCTCAATTGAAGCGAGCAAACAATGTATTACGGGCCGACCAATGCGGTTCTGTTATTTCACATAACTCTAGTTTTCAGACGGAAATATATATCGGATACAGTTAGCCGTTTTTATATTTGAAAGTAAGAAAATTACACCACATTCCAAAATATTTACAAACGAAATCAAACAAGAGCCATGTCAACATGGCCATCCCCCGCCGAATGTGTTTGCTCATTGGAAGAATGTATATGTAGTAGAGTGGAATAATTCCATTTTAAGAGGTCTTTTGGTAATGAAAACTGATGGCTATAGTGATTGCAGATTTGAAACCTATGTGAATACTGATGGCTGAAAATAACAAAGGGCAATTACTGAAAAATAATGCAGGTAAGGTTATCATTCTTGTGTGCTGCATCCCTCCTCAGTAAAATCTATCCACCTATGAAGTTTCAAGTTGATACCTTCAAATACTTTTTGAGAAAAAAATTGAATTGAAAAATTAAGTATGAAAAAAGAACAAAGGGCAATAACTCAAAAATTATAAAAGGTAGAGTTATCATTCTTGTGCAGTGCACACCTCCTGAGTGAGATCTATGCACCTATGAAGTTTCATTTTGATATCTCAAAGGCTTTTTGAGTTATGCTCTGGAACAAAAATTTAATTTTGAAAATAACAAAGGGCAATAACTCAAAAAAATAATGCAGGGTAGAGTTATCATTCTTAAGCACTGCACTCCTCCTCAATGAGATCCATCCACCTATGAAGTTTCAAGTTGATACCTCAAATACTTTTTGAGATAAGCTCTGGACAAAATAGCATAAAAAAAAACAAAGGGCAATAACTCAAAAATTCAATTTTTGAGTTATTGCCCTTTGTTTTTTTCATGCTATTTTGTCCAGAGCTTATCTCAAAAAGTATTTGAGGTATCAACTTGAAACTTCATAGGTGGATGGATCTCATTGAGGAGGAGTGCAGTGCTTAAGAATGATAACTCTTCCCTATACAATTATTGTATAGGGAAGAGTTATCATTCTTGCGCACAACATTCCTTCTCAATAAGATCTATCCACCTATGACATTTCATGTTGATATCTCAAACACTTTTTGAGTTATGCTCCACTCAGGTGAAAAATTAGGTATGAAAAATAACAAAGGGCAATAACACAAAAATTATGAAAGGTAGAGTTATCATTCTTATGCACTGCACACCTCCTGAGTGAGATCTATGCACCTATGAAGTTTCATGTTAATATCTCATAGGCTTTTGGAGTTATGCTCTGGACAAAAATCAATTTTGAAAAATAACAAAGGGCAATAACTCAAAAATTATGCAAGGTAGAGTTATCATTCTTATGCACTGCACTCCTCCTCAATGAGGTCTATCCACCTATGAAGTTTCTAGTTGATAACTCAAATACTTTTAGAGTTATGCTCCGGACAAAAATGTCGGACGGAAGGACGGACGGACGGACGGAAGGAAGGACGGAAGGTCGGACGGACGGAGACTATTTCTATATCCTCCGCCGAAATTTTTCGGCGGGGGATAATTATAAAAATGAGCAAGTAAAATCAAAGTTTGATAGCTCCAAGCAAGCACCTTTCGATATACACTTGTTTCCCATTAGAGCTCGTAAAAAATCAATAACCTAGAGTATATGAACAATTGTTCTGTAGGAAATGTACCAACTAACTCAATCTGCTGACTCCCCAAACCATGGAACGCTCTTTAAAAGCCTCGCAGTCAACTGTTGGATGTTATGTAGTGTCATTTAATAGAAATAAGACTTTTTCAGATAAAGGTTTTAGTACAATAGGCTCAACATTGTAAAATAAACGACCAAAGATTAAGCAAATCTGTAGAAGTTTTTAAGAGACAATTGAAAACTTATTTCTTTAAGGACTTCTTTGTCCATATTCTCAGCAAGGAATTATTGTCAGATATAAACGGTGTTCTATAAACTGTAGTGTATTGAACTGTGAATAGGAAATTACTGTATATAATTACTGGACTGTAAATATAAAAATTGTTTCGCCAATATATTTTTTTACTTTTTATTCCATGATGTAAATGTATAGTAGTGTGTATTTTTATTCACTAATGTTAATGACTTTTAGATGTTGTAGCGACATTAAATATGTTTGTACGTAGAAATAGGCGTTTAATTAAATTTTCAAGTTTCAGGTTTCATGTAGATAAAGTGTATAGTTGCTCTTATTAAAATATTAACATATATGTATTAAAATGAAGTTAGCATTAAAGTTAGAATGTAGACATTCACTTCATATTTACGGAATCGAAACTGATGATAACATTAAATATAGACGGTAAATGATTAGTAAATCAATATCAGAAAATAGAGTTCTTAATAAACTTTTAGTTAAAAACAAATATGTCAGGCTGTAAAAGAGCACGTCAGTATTGTCGTGAATTTGTAACATGATAATGGGAAACGTCTTCCTCGTCTTTATGACCAGAAAACTTGCTAGCATTACCAATTGTATTGTATACATCAACAACCGCTACTTTCATTGGTCCTGCGTTATCTAAATGGTGATATTCATTAAATCCCTGGAATGATTGAACAGTAGCTGCACTAGTTGTATCATACGTGTTTTCATTGACTGCTGAATTATCATTTTTTTTAGTAGCGTCCACTGTTTTGGCTTTATTAGTTGGATTTCTTTTCTGGCCAGATGACGCGCAGGTTGAATAATCGTAGTGGTTTCCTTTGTTGATAAACTGTTTTGAATCAGAATACCGTTTTAAATCGCCAGTATTTACATGCTTGTTATGTTTAACAGATTCTGCATAATGATACTCATTATCTGAATTATCTTTATTCGTTTTGGTATCTGCTGTTTGGTACATTGGATTTTCTGTCATGTAATAATCGCCATCTTCCTCTTCATTACTTTTCTTTGTGTCACCTTGGATGGCTATTTTTGGCTGTTTATTTCTGTTCGTAGATCTTCTGTAAAATAGAAATTTTGCAGCTTGAAACAACAACTTTTTATAAGAATTTCCACTTCATCTTCAGACACTTAAGTTTTTTCTTTCAACAGATGAAATAAAAACTACACCACAAACTGCCTTCACTTCTGATCCTCTCTCAAAAACACAATCTTATTTAATTACAATCATTTTTATCTTGCTTAGTGCATATGCATTTTGTACGTTGGCGTTAATGCTTTATCACGAACATGTCACAATGATAATTCAATCATAACCGCCAAATGAATACATCTGCAAATGTTTCCAAATTCAAATTCTGACCATTTTCAAGATAACTGCTTAAGTCAGTGCTAGGGGCGTGAACGGTAGCTTGCATTTACGACTTCTGTACATGAAAAGGCTTAATCAAACCGGACTTGCAACATGATTAATTTTGTGATTTGGTGCGTTCGTTAATGTTTCAATACTTTTTTGAATCGAGTTGCACATTTCATGAGTGAATATCATAGCTATGTAAGGGGTCTGGACTTCTCTACATTTATTTTTAAACTTGCTGTTAATTTATTCTTAAATATGTCAGTCAAATGACATAACAGAAAAATTCAAATAAACAATCAGTCTTATATTATATAAGCCTAACTTATAACCTATATAATGAATTTATTTTTTTAATTTGGAAAAGTTTTTTAAAAGTATAGTTTTCATATTCACTTAAAAGAATATTACAAAACAAAATTATTTAAAAAACGACAACAACAACTGTAGGACCCTTTCACCTCCATTTTGGAATTTACTTTATTTCTTAAATTAGGATAAATCTATGTGGGCATATATACATATCAAAATACAAAATGAAGATAATATGAACAAGTATCGAACTAACCTTCTGCAAATTATAACGATAAGTATTACAACTGCCAAGCAGACGAAAGCAGCAATAGATGCAGCAACAACTGGTACTGAAATTCAAATCATTGCTATATTGATAATTGTGAATGTACGTTAAGATAATACAGTGGTAACTTCATTGGTGCTAATGAAATCTGAAAGTTTCTTTCATACATGAAAGAGCATAATATATTCGAGCTCAAAATATTTAAATGTTTATTTGAGTGTACGTGTCTTCGCAGAGAACAGTGCATCATAATTAAATGTTGTAACGATATACTTTCAGCAATATTTCTGTTAACAGGATTTTGCGCGTTAGTAAAATATGAATCAGCAAATAAATCAAAAACACTTTGAATGCTAATTTTCTCTCTTATCACTGAATACATACTAATGATGTTAATTTCGTCTTTGTCAGTTGTTTTCCTGTTATATTTCTCCGTCACAACACTTGAATTAGGGTATGACGTTGACGTTGATATTGACGTTGATGAATTTTGTTGCGTTGGATCGCATTTAACGTTGAAAAAAGTATCTGAAAATATATAGGTTTTGATATTGGCATTGTGTAAGAAATATGGCACGAGGGTAAAAACACATTTCCCAATAATTCTTGTTGATGAGGAAAATATAGTACATAGTAAGAAACTATAATATCAAGGGGCAGGACGTAAAGTGGTAACATTCTTAGTCCAAGCGAGAAAATTGGTTGCAAACTTGACAAAATGGCTATGCTTTCTATTTTCAAGTGTTCCAAAATAAGAATCAAATGTTTACTGCAGAGAGTGAAAGGAAATCAAATAACAAGTATACAGAACGCACAGTTTTAAGTGATTTTCCAAAAAAGATATTCTTTCTATTTTCAAAAGTGTTCTACAACGAACCAACATTTTGAGTGGTATTCCATCTATTACCATCCGCCACATAACGATTTGTACCAGGCAAATAACGATTCGTCACGAACAACGTTGACTGGTTTGAATGACTTGATTGCATTTTAAGTTCACACTTGGTTAAGGGAGAAATTAATGATTTTATCTTGATATACATGGTTGAGTGAATGTGGTTGTAACACTTACATATGAATGTAAGTCAATCTCATCTTGTCAGGGAGTTGTTGACTAAGTTTATGCCAATATATTTAGTAAAAGCCTAACTAAATTAAGTAAATTTATAGATATAGAAGTAAATGAGTACATCATTTATATACTTATTATTATGTTTGTAAAACCGAAAGTACAAAATGTATACCTCTGACATTTATTTGGATTTGATTATTATTGTACATCGGTGGGCGTTTTAAAATTGACATATTTACAATCGTGATTTTACCGGAATACACTTTCTTTTCCTTTCGATGTCAAATATATTTATATTCGTAATATATTGTACAGAGATTACACCATCTGTTTTTGTTTAAGTTTAAAATCACGCGTAATACTTTCAATACTTATTATCAATAATAACCGAGGTATTCCCATTGTTATTAATACTCTATCGGTCAGTTATTAATTTGTGTCTAAAGGCTATGTAATCATTTGGCACGGGCATTGATTCAAAGATCTGGAATAATATGAATATTCACATGATTGCAGATAATATTGACAAAATGACATGTATTTGGCAGAAAAGAGTTCAATTAGGACTTTATTTTATATTCACGGAATTCCAATATTATCAAAAATCATTTATAAACCTAGTGCCACACAAAACTTATTCAATTAAATGATATGTAGAAGTTACCTGAAGTTTTTTTCATACCTGAGGAAACCATCAAGCAAACACCTTCATATGTGTAATTTTTATTTGTAAGGACAGAAAGCGTAAGACTTCGATCCCCTGTTGTGAATGTATGTTTCTCTCCTGAATCTATTTCATTACTGTTGGCTTTAAAGCTTAAGCTTTGAGGAACCATACCATCAACAAAAGAGAATGAAATATCAACGTCTGAAGTGTTTGAAGTTATCGAACACTCACAAAGTGTCTGCTGAAATCTTGGAACTCCTGTTGTTGTTATGTAGACAATTTTATGTTTCGTCAAGGTGTTGATTTTACATATTTCTACAACTAGATGTAACAAAACAAAAAAACGTTTAAGAAATATTATAATCGACATCATACTTTGAATGTAAACTTATCCAGCAGTATATACATGTATATTCCAAATAGAAATAACAATGTTGTAATTATTTTGCATATTTATTAAATTTTATTTTTGAACTAGTTTACCCTTAGCGTTTTCTTCCAGGAAAGGAAGAAAACTTATCGTCTCATTCTGCAATTTTATGCATATTTAAAAACACCGATTATAATATCTTAAACAACAACAACAAACAAAACTTTATAGTGTTCGGCTTGATCTGATAGCCTTAGAACTGTTGGTATTTAGTGGAATTGTAATCCGAGTACTGACATAATATCCCTTTTATATAAGTGAGAACATAAGACATTGTATTCTCACTTCGATATATACTAAGTAATCTTTTTTAATGGCATTGCCTCATTATGATCAATTTCTTTTGCCAAAGTTCAAAAGGTATTGAGCGGACACAAACTTTGAAGTGTCACTTTGATCTTTATCCAAGGAATCCAAATGTGTGCTGTGAATATTGCCGTAATATGGTTAAAACTTCTGCGAAGAAGTTTCTACTTCATTCCATAGTTTAAAAAAATACCGAAAAGACATAACATTGCTAAGGGACTAGAGGACGACAAAGGGCATAACATTTTACGCTGGAATTCTTTTGGGTACATTAAAGAGAGTGGGAGGGGAAAATGATCTTAATTGATTACAAAAGCACACTTATTATTTAAAAATCTCTGCTATCAATAGCTCATATTGTCGATATTCAGTATTCGCGTTACATTTATATATTTTTGACGGACTTTAAAAAAAAAATGCACATTATCTCAAGTTGTTATCTTGTTTTATATCTGTCGTAATTAATGCACTAGAAGTGCGTAAATCTTAAAAGTATTCTAAAGCAAGCGTAAACGGATGCATGATCTCCATATGGAGTCCTATCTATCTTAACATGTACATGTATGCGTCTTTTAATAACGTACTGCATACAAAATCTGAAACACACTCGATTAACAACGAGATTTAAGAGATAGTACATGGTAGCTCATTATTGCAAAGAAAAGTAAATATTAGTTTATGTATATATATGTATATATCTTTATGTTTATACGAATGGGCATTTACCGCGGACGTACCTGTTTTATATTCATCGTCACAATGTCGTGATTGACTGCTTGAATCTGAAATATTAATCTTAGTATAATAGTTCCTTATTACATAGTTAGTACTACCATATTCATTATCAGTTACTTAACTGCAATTTCATTTTTTAGTATTATGAGTAAACAAGTCGGTATGATGCAATGACGTAAAAAGATTTCCCAAAATAATTCATAGGATATTTCGTAGTTAACATCAAACAGTGAAGTTTTGAATCGATTAGTTTTATAAATTACCCATTTCAATCGTTTAATTCGCCTATGACATAACTAAAATGAGTTTACTTACCATCTATACAACATATGATAAGGAAGTAGAAGAATAAAATCATCATTCGTATCCTTGTTTCAACAAATAACATAACTTTTATCATAAAGAACTAGTTAACCATTTCAAAATACCTCACATAAAATTGTTTCCAATACAAAATACATAAAACAAATTGACTCGACGTTTTACTTATAGATTTTAAATAGTGATATGGTTGAGCGATTTTTGTATATAACCATATCCTACCTTTTCATGTAATATGTATTTCTATATTTAGATTTACCTCGGGTAACTGCAATACTGAATGTGTAAATAATTTTACATTCTAGTGACATATATCGTGTTCGTTAATTATTGTTTGTATGTTTTATGCCGAGTTCGTCTTACCGACTTTCCTGGATAACAAATTAATAATACCAGTATAAATATAAAAAAATACAGATGCCTGAAACACGAGTTAGCCGTTGTACGTATATTGGTCAAAATACGTAGACGTGCCAGCGGACAAAAAATAGTTATGCATCTTACATAGAAATGCCCGTTATTAAATAGGTAAAAAGAAAAATAGTTAAGTTTACCTCTCACCCCACCCAGCTTGACTAAGCATATATTTTATTGATAAAATATAAGTTAAGCAAAATTACATGTTTCATTATAAACAAATAAGGTTTAAATCAAACTGATTTTTCATTTTATTGCTACCGAGTATTCTCCCTTTTCCAGAAATTTTAATTTATCTGAATGTCGTTTTGATTCAACATGTGCTCCTATCAGTGCAATATTTGGTGTCTCAAGGATGTGCTTATACAAGCATATCAATTTTAAAACAATTGACTCAATATTATTATTTCTAATAAGCGTCTGTGTTTTAAAGGAAACAACTAAGATGAAATCAATATTTTATCTTACATGGCAAATTTAAATTAACAACCATTTTTACTGATTTCTCCATTATCTTAATTTAGCCTTTTGTGTAATAAAATAATGGAGAAAAACTATTTAGGATATATATATTCGATTTGCTCTTCCATGGGTATGCAGTTTATTTATGTTAAAGTGAATCAACACATTTTAAGGACTTAACATGTGTGACAGCTTACAGAAGTTACGGTTATCGAAAGTATCGTTAAACATAATTTTAAAAGAAAGTGTGACATAAAGTTGGATAAAATAACAAACAGTGTATCAGAAACAAAGTGTGACATTCAGTTGGACGAACAAAGTCCACATTGTCCATAGAATGTGTGACATAAAATATAAAACAAAGTCCTGGAATACATAAGTGAAATATAACATGATGTGACATTTGACATGAAAAAAAACATGATAAAGATTCAGTAAGGAGGGTGATGGAGAGGAAAGAAGAAAAATCTCTCTAAGTTAATAGGTGAAAAAACGATTACATCGAATTCAGACCAATGCTTGAGTAATAACAAACTAGGAGTAAAATAAGAGAATATGTGAATGGGCCCATCTAACAAAAACAAACTAATTATATCATTACATTTCATCGATTGTTTTTTTTATATATAGAATTTCAATTTAAAGATACATATGGAGAAAAGATAATAGACAGACTACTGTTCTAGCCGTGTGAAAATACAAGATCAGTCAACTAATGTCTTAGCAAGGTAAAGTAGACAACAAAATCAGAACAATCTCTAGCAGGGATCGGCTTTAAAAATAGCAAAAATCTTGTTGCTTCTTTTCATTTTATTTTAAAGACACATATAGATAATAAAACATTATATACATTATGTACAACATCTCTTGGGCTAAATATGACATAAAATATCACAATTTTATGTCCATTGTAATAGCAGTAATCATGATTCTAGATTAAGCAGCATGATATTTTACAATATCTAAATACGTATATGCTAAATGAAGGTAAAATATAAAGGGCTAGGTTCACTAATGGTCAAATTTGGCCCTGTCTCAGAATTAGCTCAAACCTCAAACATATATATGTATGAGAGCACTATGTCTAACGTTGTTAAACACCATTTATATTTGCAAAAACATCAGCTAGGCGTTACCGTAACAATTATCTATCGTGAAATGTTTTTTTCAAATTTCAAGGAATTACGTTTAAAATCAGATACAAATATATTATAGTTTTATGCCAGTCAAAAGCATTAACACACAATTCACAAATATAAACATTTTAAAATATTTCATTATAGATTGATAAATATCAGTTGCATACTAACGGTGTAAATTCTGTAAATATTAGTTTTTTTCATGATTTTATTTAAAATTTGTTCTTACTTAATCAAAATATATTCCATTTTGAAATATTTAAATGAGAAAAAATGCTTGAAAATAGTTAATAGTTTTATATATCATCACGTTACCATGGTTACTATTAAACTGTGTTACAATGGTTCTTTAAATTACACCATAAATAAGAATTGACAATGCTGTATAATTACATTAACATTTCGAAGCATTAAAACATAAATGGCCTATCCTTAAAATGCTTTGAAATTATTTGTGTATACACAGTCAGTTCACCTATATATAGTTGGGACTAAGATTTATTTAGGATGTTCACAGTCTTAAATGTTAGTTCACATTGCTAACTTAAAAAGCAAAGGATTTCTTCATGAATCCCTTTTTTATTTACAATTCAATAGTTTTACATAGTTATGCTTTTTATCTGTATATTTGTTCTTTTTCAAAAGAAAACATACCTAATCCAAACAATTTAATATTGGTCAGATTTGAGTTTATCATATAATTACAGGTGCGCATGCGGTGAACTTATCTAACAAAACTCTAAATACATGTACACTTAAAATACACTCTATTAATTAAACTTAAAATACACTTTATTAATTCTAAAACATAACTTTATAAGCTTCGCAAATTCTATGATTCATTTAAGTCACATGTAATTTCAATTTTAGATTTAAGAGAGCTAATGCCTTTAACGTCATATGAAAAGACAAACTCGTGTGTGTTCCTTAATCATAAGGCAAAGTTAGTCTAGTTCATTCATTCAAAGTTCATTCGTCTGTTTGTAGTGTTTCGTACATCGGATCAGTTGTGTTAGCTTTATATCTTTCATAGTCATTTGACGAATTCTTACGGTGTATGCCGTCACCAAAACTACCTTTTCGAGGCGTATTTTATACTCGTTTTCCAAAGTGTTTGTGTCCGATTGTGGGTTACTAAGGTTTAAATATTGGCTAAAAAGAAGTGAAATAAATTATGGAAATGAATTATAATAAAAACCATCTTCGTGTCGTATTGAACATGCGTTATATTGCGACGAACTGTATATATTACAGACACATGCTTTAGTTTTATTAAAAAGGTTCTGCAAATGACAGTTTTACCGTGAAAGGCACCAGTTACATTTATCAATAAAATTAATGTTTTTGTTACATATCAACCATTTTGAGAGTTTCAAATCATTTTATCAAAATAATGTTCAATTCTTGATACAATATTTTATCCTTTGTATATCGAGTCTAATTAATCATAGTATTGTCTTGAAGTAAGTTTCTAGGTAAATTTCTGATCGCCACTCCTGGGACAGAA